GCGTGCTTTTTGCATGGATGATTAGAGTTATGTGCCAGCTATTTTCAAGACTACGAGAGTTTCAGCATTGTTGCAACCTGTGCTCCCCCAGTCTATCCTACTTCGACTCGAGTACATATAGCTGTCTTTCAGTTTTCTCTCTATTTAGAGGCCCAAACGTGAACTTATTCCTGCAAAAGTTTTGTTTTGTATACTTGCCTCATAAAAGGGAACCAGGAGACACCACCCCCCCCCTTTCCCCAGTATCCCTTATGACTGATTTGCCGTTCATCCCGATTTTTTTCACCAGATCCTGATTTTTTTACTCAAAAATATATATATATAAATGCATGTGTGTATGTGTCTGTTTGTGTGCATGTGTGTGTGTGAGTATGCTATTGAATGTGTATGTGTGTGTGTATTTGTGTGCAGTGCATGTTTGTATGAATGTATAATTATGTGTGTCTATGTGCATGTGTGTGTGTGTGTGTGTGAGCATTTGTGTGTATGTATGTGTGTGTGTGTGTGTATGTATGTATGTGTGAGTGTGTGTGTGTGTGTGTGATTTAAATAAATGTGTACTAGTATATACCTTGGGATTTCAACAAAGCCTGTGTAAGGGCTCAGTGTGCTTGAACTTTAACACTTTGCAGTCACACCTCCAGCAGAACAAACAAAATACCTCATTTGGTCACCTAGCCAGGAGAGCGACTGCAACGGACGTCTCAGGCCTGGCGCAGAACTGTGCTAGGTGACCTGAACGGATAATTTTCACCGGCGCATTATTGCGCCAAGTGACTGCAAAGTATTAAAAGTAAAAAACCATTCCTTTCTGATTGTGCTGCGAGTTGATTTTGTATCCAGAAACATGTGACCACAGACACTTACATAACAACAAATTGACCCATAGATCACACAGCTTTTTTCTGCCACGTGTTTAAGAAAGTTACTGAGGATCAAATGGACAGACAGTGAGACAGGGTCACCAACTAATCAATCAATCTGTACTCTGATTGTATGTTAATGTCTCATGCAATTCTGTTTGCTGGAACTGTTGCATCATTTACGGAGAAACCGTGTATGTTTTGGATAAACAAAGAAAGCTTCTGTTCTTATCTTCTCATCAGGATGTATCAGTCACAGTATCAGGGTATGTTTGTGTGTTTTAAATGTGTACAGAAATCCAGTGTCAGAAAGTGATATAATGCAAAGTTCATAAATGATGTATTCAAACTTTGTTACACGTTTTGAAGTGTATTTTTGCTTTTAATATTACCATTTTACGGTGTGGATGGAAAACATGAAACCAATAACCTTACTATTTTCTATCAATGATAGACTGTCGTCCATAACCACTTTGCCTGATTATATTCTATAAAATTATTTAGCTTAGAATTTTTCACACTATTACATTAATTATGAGTGCAAACTCTTTTGACCTCTACAATGACAAAATGCTGACCACAATTTGCATATTATTTTTAACTGTAACTTTCACCTCTCTGCTCAAACCATTTGTCTTTTAAGGTCCGTGTTGATGAAAAGTGCTTGAAGCCTATTTTCCATTTTGCATATGCGCTATATCTATATAATGTAAATATATAAGATGTTATTATATTCATTATAGCCTATTCAAAACTTTGTCATGTTTTCTCCCATTATGGTGGAGCCCCCATAAGTTTTGTTGCTGTTGTTTTCCTCTGTCCCAGTTTGCCTCATGAGGTTCAATGATAGGTCAGTCAGTATCATTCTCGACCACTTAATGTCAAACGTTTTACTGTCAGCGCCCACTTTTTCCACTTATTTTATGAAGCTTAAATGTTCTTACCACCCACCTACAAGTATTTCTAAGTTGGGTGTGAAATCATGTCTGTGGCCACTACTCGGGTGATCCCCACCACCTACCAAAGTTACTAAATTGGCCATGAGTGGTCGATATTTCCCAGATCGGCAGGCACAGATTTAATACACGCTGAAATAATTTTAGATCACAAAAGTCTTATGGACTGAGATGTAACTGTGTTTTCCTTTCTAGACAGAGCTGAAAATGAACCCCTCATGTAAAGTTTTAAGCTGCTTTCACAGTGTTCAAGACTTTTTCAACTTAAGTGGTAGGCCTACCAGACATTTGATGTTTTTGAAAACTATGTCAGTATACAAATTGTAAAGTCTTGAGAAGCCGTCCATTTACCCCTTTCACAAGCACTTTATTTACTACATGTACTCATGTTTCTATGACCACTGTATTCGCTTTTGCACATTTTTGTAACACTACAACATGTACGTATGTATATTTTTGGTTTGTTTTTTTGTTTTTTTGGCTTTTTGTTTGTTGTTTGTTTGTTTTTTTAGTTTCTGGCACTGAGCTTGACCTACACACATACACAGCACCACATGTCGGAGAAAATTCCAATGTTGACAGACCGCCCAGGGTGGAGCCACTGACTGAAGTGTCTTTAGGCCACCCCCAAAGGGGGGACATTTCTCTTTCATGCACGGTAGAATTGTAAATGGGCTGATTCATCAATGTCACGCTGATAACTGTGCCTGATCTACAACAGGGAACTGCTGCTTTTTCTTTCCTAATCCTTACTATTGTCATTTTTCCTCTACTTCTTTTGTATGTTTGTCACACTCTTGTAACCCGCTTTTTCTGGGGTGCCTTGATACTCGAAGCAGACTTTGTGCTGTTGAAGCTAGAGAGGTGAGCAGAGTAACCTTGATTCCCTGTAAAGACTTCTCTATTGACATCCACCCCTTGGTGCTCATATGACCTTATACTTATATGCAGTTGCGAGTGCCGTAAAACCTCAACTAAATTATTTTTAAAAAATATTGACAGTTACATCTCCGCACAGTTGAGTCAATATTTCCTCGCCTTACTCTGGAGTATTGGGATCTTTGCCTATCGTCAGCAAGATGTTCTGATGTTCTAAGACCAGACAGCAAAGCTTTTCAGGGTGGGTGGTTGGCAGATGCTCTGGTGTGGTTGGCTCTTTCTTTTCTATCAAACATCTATCGTCCTGATCTCGCCTCCTTTTTTGTGTTTGTTACTCTCTTGTAACACCTTTACTCTTCGGCACTTATGTGACCTTATTGTGTTGCTAGCGCTTTAAAACTCTTACTAAAACTAAAGAGAGAAGAAAAAAACAAACTGTTTCATTTTTTTCAACAGTTGTACCCACTTTATGTATCGTTTCTTCCTTTAAAAAAAAAAAAAAATATTTTTTGAGTATTGACAAAATATTTCTTGATTACCTGCAGCTCATACTATAGATGAGGAAACTACAATTAAAAGAATGTCCAGGATTTTGGTCTCTATCTAGGCTAATTTTGTTCTGACATAGTTTAGGTCTTAGTCCATTTGAACAGCTGGCTGATTATATGTGAGGCATCATTGTCATAGTGAAATCAGGTTTGATCAAAAGAGATAAATTGAAGATATTGCCAATTTTCGGCATGTTCATCTATTTTTAGGCCTATTGTTATTTTTTATTTTAGCTTGACACTTTTTATGTCCATGTAAAACACTTTTCTGTGTGGAATTTAGAGGTAGACGTTGATTAAAGGCACAAACATGTACTTAAACAGTTTCTAAGGACTTTCAAGCTTTGAAAGTCAGCAAACTTTATCGCCATTGTCTGGCTAATTTTACCTGTGAAACCAGGTGACCTTCACGTCTTTCAATCTCAAACATCTCGACTTCTATTCGAAATAAAGATGTATTCTTTTCTTTGAAACCAATAACTCCTCATGCCCCAAAAATCGATGAATGCCTGATTCCACCGCGTCATGGCATCTGTGAGTTTTGTTTGTGTGAGGTCTACTTTAATTGCACTGTTGATCTTTCTACTGTTGTCCCAATTTGTCCCCGTTACCATGTTAGATTTCATGTAGGTTGGTTTTGTTTAAAATAGTATATTATCAGAATACTTTGTGAATTCCACTCGCCTTC